TGAGAAGTCTCGTGCCATTCTTCAACGGCAGTTCGCGAACAACATACTCTTTGTTGCGTCCGAGGTCGGTCGCAAGCCACCCACATTCAATGATGCTGCCCAAATAGCTATACAGATATTGAACAGTGGGTACGTTAATCAAATTCAAGAGTCAGGATATTAAATAGAATATTAAATAGAGTAACTAAGTATTAGTTATTTAAACAGTTCATTAATGCAATAGAGTTGTTTTTTTCAATTGAACTTCTCTTTTCAATTCAACTTCTTTATAGTTCATCTTTCCACTTTTTCTTTCCATGTTAGAGAAAAAAATAAAATAAAAGATGAATCGTAAGTTTAGTTTAAAAGTTAAAAAGAATAGACCTAATGTCAGCTGAGATTATTTACTATAAATTTTCCTAAACTTAATAAATTACAATAAAAAAACAAATTAATGGACTTCTTATATTTAGCATAATAATAAATAGTAATAAAAAGGCAATAGGAGCTGTCACTATGTAATAATTTTGAAAAATAACGTCTTGTAGAGGTAAAATGGTTCATTATAGAAAGGAATATGCTTGTGAAAACTTTTTATCATAATAACAAGATCTACTATGTATCATACTATACATTCAGCCAATTCGAAATTCAATTTCCGTAACGTTTGTGTGGGGTCCATTCTGTTACTTAACTATAGGGATCTTTTAGATATATGAATTATATGTCTTTTTAAAAGAATATTGTATAATATAATTAATAACTATTAACTTAATTATTCTTTTGCAGTTATTCCTTTGGAAGTGGACATATAGTGTATAACAGATTTAAGTCTGTGGTATCGTACATGATTGATGATCTACCATTGTTTGATAAGAGCGCAGTACTTAATGCGCCAAAATTGTCGATGTATGATTCGCTCGATGATGAGGTAATACAGAGCTATCTCGAGTTCTCTCTTGCTTCGCTGTTATTTTACTCAATGAAGGAAGGTGCCTGCAGCGAGCAGTCCAGCCGTATGACAGCTATGGATAATGCTAGCAAGAACGCCGGAGAGATGATCGACAAACTCACTCTTACTTTCAACCGCACTCGACAGGCTGTGATCACCAGGGAACTGATTGAAATTATTTCTGGTGCCGCCGCTCTGGATTAAAATTGTTCCGGAGGAGAAATTTAGTTTACCAATTTATAGTGCCGACAAATAGGAAGAGAATATGTTGTTGGAAAAGAAGAAATGACGGAGAAACAATTCTGTTATATTTGATTTATGGAGTAATCGTTAACTTGTGCCTGAAGCAATAAAGTTTAATATTAAGATTTCAATGCTTTTGTTCATAATATAATAGTATAACAATATTGAAATTCTAGAATTGAACTTTATTGGTTCAGGTCTCCACAAATCAGATATTATACTGCCGAAAGATCAAGCCCTACTGACTTGAATGGTTCGAACCATTGCAGTGTAAATATCAAGAATATTAAAACCCTGATATTTATATGTCCAAGTTATTCAATAAATCAATCCGATTACAAAATCATGTATTTCATAATAGTAAGTTGTCATTTATATAATATAAATTCTGTAAATCTGATAAAAATAATACTTAAAGCATTATATTCAAAATTAGTAATATAAATATGATTCAATATCATCAAAAACCCGTTTCTAACGAGCTTTTCAATGTGTGTGAATTCTGAAATATTCTAACATTTTGATTTCTTATTCAGTAATTTCTAACGAAATTTTAATTGATAATAAAAATGATAAGATAATCATTGTCTGATCGTATGAAGTCGAATTTATTGCTATTGATTAATCGTTTTATATAATTCGCGCGTTTGTTCTTTTTTCTCTTTATTCTTTTCTCTCTTTCTGTTTCTTGGTCTTGTATTTCCTTTAATTACTAAGCTGTATTTGTAATTCGAGATAATAAACTTGTTGAAAAACTAACGACTATAGTAAATTCTCATCAATAAAATTTGAAAAAGTTTAAGGTATTTTTTTTAAAAATTATAAAATGAATAATTTCAGAATATTTTAAAATTTATATAAAAAAATTCTAGAAAAAATGGATGTGTAAATTTTAGCACTTCTAAAAAAATGTCCCAATTTATATTAAAAAACTTGAAATATTTTTTAAGAAGTTATAAAATTATTCAGAAAAATTCTGAAAAATTCTAAAATTTATAATAATAGTAAACAAAGAAATTAAAGACTGATGAAATTCAGTGTGAGAGAAGTAAATTATTATCGAGCAGATCTAGAGTTCTCAGCGATCATAGCGATCCTAGTGTCACAATGATGCACACTGGAGTCCGAGCATGCCGCATTCGGCTCAATACGACTGAGACTGCGATAGTGAGATCCGTTCTTAGGTTTGTTCGCGTCTCCAACATGCTCCAGCATACTCCTACCACAGCTCCTATTCATTCTATCAAGCGTTGGAATGAGTAAGAGCTATGATAAGAACATATAACATTACATATGTTGGAGCATGTGACGCGAACAAATCTCTTGCAATTTTCGAATGCGAGCGAGATAGGATATACGGACATATCTTGCTCGTGCTATGCGTGGTGTGTACGCGCATAATTCGCATTGCGCATGTTCTTTTTCGTCATGACCAACCATTCAAATGCTACTCAATCAAATTCTATTCTAAATTCTTGGTTGAATAAATTGATTATTGCACTTCCTTGAAATAAAGTCTGTTCGCATTGCATGAAATCGAAATATTTTTGCATTTAAAATGAGATAGATACATATTTTACTTTGAAAAGAGAGAAAGCGAAAATGTTGAGTGCCAAAAATGTAAGCAACGCGAACAGATCTATTATTAAGGAACGAACAGATTTATTATTAGGGAGCGTTATTGGCTGCATGCCGCAATCTGTAAGAATTGACTCGATTGATCGCAGTCGAGTATTTCTCTTCCATTCAATTGTAAGAAGTTTCCCTTTTGTCATGAACAGATCAAGCTAGAGTCTCATAGGGAGGGAGTAGCAAATTATATCACATGAATGCCCACGTTCAATCAGGACGAGGTCACGTGACTAGTTTTCTCTTCCTATGCTATGGAGCTTTGATGCTCATGCCCAATCAGAAGAGATGGGTCACGTGATACAATTTTCCATTCTCTTCCTGTAAGGTTCTCTACGGTTCCGATTCTCGCTCCCACATTTAAAAATCATTTCATCCTTGTTATTTATCAAATGTTAAACGACAATGATGCTTATGAATTTGTTAGCATGAATCGGAGCACACTGCTCGTCTACCGACGTGATCGAAAGTGTTATTGCGTCATCATTTTTGGAAAGTGTGACCAGTTTCAAACACGCAATTGAGTTTATGTTACTCTTTTAGACTTTCATATTCTTCATTGTTTTAAAATCGAAGCCATTCTCATGCGAAGAAGAAGAAGATGAATCGGATCACGGCCTAGATCGAGCATGCCACGTATTTCAAACTGTACAGATAGCATTTAGATTTCATTTTTATATGTTCACTAAAATTAAAGTGTGTATCGATATTTAGTATGTTGTGAATTGTATTATCATTCCAAAGCTTCACAACACATGTTTGTGGTCTGTCGAGAATCCATTTCAGTTTTGATAACCTGCAAGTGACTTCTTGGCTGACTGTTGAACTAATTTTGATTAAAAATGTACAATTTTTTGCTGATAAGGATTCCAAAGAGAATTGAAATGTTTAATATTTCGGAATAAAGAAGACATCATATATCAAATAAAGTAAAGTGAATTATTCCAATTTAATAATTTGTGTACCCCCTCATTTAAATTTCTGTGTTGTTATTTTAAAGATCCTAAAAGAATCCTTTCTTATTTTATATTATATTATATTATATTATATTATATTATATTATATATTTTTAAAATTCATATAAAAATTATGAAATATATATAAAAAAATTCTAAAAAAAATTTTCATCTGAGTTTTGATGTAACTCGGCATATTTTTAGGTCCAGTTTTACAATGATTAACATTTAACCAAGGTTCAACTTAATTCTCATCTTTTTCCAATTCTAAAATTGAAAAGAGATAATGAATAAGTTGAACCTCGGTTAAGAGTTAACTGTCAGTTGTGAAACCGAACCTTACCTGTTATATTACAGATTGAGAATAAGATAAGATTGAAATTCGATCAAAGAATTCTATTTTAGTTAAACTTAATTAAATTTAGTTAAACTAAATTAGAGTACATTTTTTCTCTTTTTTTCTCTTATATGAGAAAAGAAAAGTAAATTAGAAGTTCAGCTAAAAAGACTAGATCTCTAATCTCTTCCAATTTTTTGATTAAAAGCAATTAGAAGAAACGAATCATTCTACAATTTTGATAGTAAGAGAGTCAACATTATGTTTCGATATTTACTGTCAGCACTATGCCACCATGTTAAAAGTGATAAGAGAGAAAGCATTCTTCTCAGCAACATGCTAAAGTCACTAGATTAACAAAGTATGAGAAAATTCGCGATGAGAAAATTCACTGAATTAACATTTGAAGTCAAAATGATGTCGAAATGCTATCCTAACCTGATTCTGATAAAAGATCGCAAATCCATATAAGAATCTGGAAGAAGATGAAGAACTTGATTCTGTTATTATCGAAAATGTCCAGTTGCTGTGTTGAAAATTGCGAAAACCGCGGCAAAAGAGGCTGAAGTTTTGAATAATCGCGCGTCATGGACTAAAATGGCGGCAGTTCGCAGTACTTGTACTAACCTTGTTAATCTAGTGACTTTATAACAAGCAAGTGATAGTAATAGCTTTATTCGTTCCTAACCCGTACTCGACTATAATTGGATTTATTGGATATTGTTATATATATGTAGTATATATGTAGTATATATGTAGTATTTTATCACGCGCATGCGTGATATAACTAAGGCTGATATTCATAGTCAGATCTTACATATAAGATTGTCTTAAATACAATTTTAAGCTGTCATAAATCAATTAGAGAACTATATTAGCATATTAAGACAGTCTTAAAATAAGACAACTATGGATGGTAATGACAAGAGGAATATGCACTCGACCGTTATCACTTGCCTACTGAAAATCTGTGTAAATAGAAAGCAATTATATTTCAGTGATTAATTATGCCTTAAATGTCATTATTCTCAGTAAAGTAATGCTTTATTTTCAGTTGTAATTGATCCATCCATCTTCACGTCTACATTAGCCTGTATTTCCACGTTCACCACAGCGCCATCAATGAGAATTTTTGAAAATATTCAGTTGACTACAGGAAGTAAAACATTGCAGAATTTGTAGAAGAAAGTGGAGGTCAGTAAAGGTGGAGAGTAGTGAAAATAATTTGCTTGCAATATTAAAGTCATCGTTCATCTCTTCACAACTATTTGGTCAGAAACGTGAGTGGAAGCCAAAGAATACAGAAGGATTGAACAAAGAATCCTTGTAGAGCAGAGGCATCCTGAGATCACTGGTGAAACTTGGAAAATGGGAAACGAGGATGGTCTTGGTGTAACTACCGGACAGCCGAATCTCTACAAGCAAGATCTATCAAAGCTCGTAAGTTCGCGGTCAGACGCTGTGGTCTTCGCGCCATTTATCTGAGAGTTGATTATGTACTTTTAAATAAGGTGAAAATTACAAAAGTGAGTAAATTTATTAGATATTAACTAATTAAATTATAAATATTCGAATGAATTTGCCTATTTTTGTAATTTTCGTCTCATTTTGAGATATATACTCGATCCCCTGATGCCGTGCCGCCATGTTAACCTTGTGTGATTGTACATGCTGGCTTGGCTTCGTATGGTTAGCCACGTGCACAACATTTCTCGTTACTCCAAATTAAACTCATAGATTTTCTCTTCAGTTTTACGATAAAGAGAGAGAGAGAGAGAGAGAGAGAGAGAGAGAGAGAGAGAGAAAAAAGTATTCAACACCATTTTTTTGCCGCTTACCTCTTTGTTTATGGGTTGACTTAATTAGCATGGAACTTAATTTTAGCATGGAACAGTGAAAATTTTCTTCGGGATTATCAAATGATTTAAGGAATGTGAGGGACACGAAAGGGAGGAAATTATTGAATATTTGTTGAATTAAATTGTAGCATGCTGTAAGACGGATAAATTACTACTCTGATTTTTCGAGTGCAGGCAGAATGTATAGTTTGCATATTAATTGTTAATTGGTAGGATGCCAGTTTTACTTTGTACACAGTGTTCTTAATTATTTTTTGTTTTTTTTTCTTAACGCTTATTTTAAGTTTAATGAAAGTTAATAAAAACTGGATAAAAGTTTAATTATAATAACAATTATAATAATAGAGTCTTGCATGTTCTACAAGAATAAGAGATCTGTGAATATATCATTCTATATTCTTTATTCTACAAGAAATTGATCTTTTATGAATCATGTAGAACATTTTATTCTTTGTTAATCTTCAGAATTTTTAATCTTATTAAAATTTTTTTTATTAATGTATTTAGATATTTTGTTTTAGTTGAATTTGCATAAAGGCTGCATTCAGTTATTCACTGCAAGTACCGAAAATTATAGTATACAAATGACCATATTTTCTTAAAAGAAAATAAAGGACAAATCCGAAAATTTTAGGATTTCCTAACATGTTTTCAAACCACTTTGTGATTCAAGAATCTGTGTTATAAAATATTGATATAGTATAAGCAAATTGAGATGCGCAATTTTCTGATAGTTTGAAACTGATTCGATTGTATTGGAACAAACTCTTGATCTAAAATAATAAAAGGTTCGAAATAATAAAAAATGAAAACTCTAGTTTACATAAATTTAAAAAAGATAGAAATAGAGAAATTAAGAAATGATAAATAAAAAAATTGTATTTATATGCATGAAACTAAAATATTTTCTGTAAAAATTTGTTTATTAATGTAATATTATGTATATAGATATTGGAACGCTAGAAAAGCATTTCTCATAATATCAAAATAAAAGATAGTGAAGAACAATATTAGAAAATAAAGGACAAAATTAAGTTTTAAAGAAACAAATAAATTTGAAGAATAGTTACCTAAAATAAAAAAAGGATTCTTTACGATAAAGGATGTATGGTCACCATAAGTATATAAATGTAATGTGAACTATAAGTTTTTAATTTATCTTTCTCCCTATGTTGAAGAAAAAGAAAAGATAATTGGAAATCTTAAATTTTAACAAGTTTTAAATGGGGGATTATGATTTTTTGCATCTACTAGTTGTTAGTTGCACAGTGAGTCATTTAACTCAATTAATGAGAAGGATGAATTCGGTCAGTCTTAAGAAAATATTTTTAATTCTTAAGACTGTACTTAAGACAGTCTTGAATAAAATCTGAACTATGAATATCCACCTTAATCGTATAAGTTGGCTGTTGACTAAACTTCACCGATTCATCAATAAGATTTAGGACTATCGACTTATTATAGAATCAGTTTAATACATGCTATATACTTTTAATGCTTCACTCCTAATTTGAGAATGAAGAAAATTTCCATAACTTCTCACAGTCCCATATAGTAGAAATTATGAAAGTTCCATTATATCTTAAATTATATCTTAAATTGTAATGATTTTGAATTTAATTTTATCCTAGCATTATTGCACTGATTACATTCTTTTTCTTTGATTTTGTGCACAGGATGTAATTAAATTAACTGCATTGTCACCTGAAGTAATCAGTAGGCAGGCTACAATCAATATTGGTGAGTTCACAAAGTTTAAGTGTTTCAAGTTAAAAATGTGATACATATATTTTCTAACACTAGTGTTATAAAATATAGATAAATGTTTATATATAAACTTATTACATAGGAACTATTGGACATGTAGCACATGGAAAATCAACAATTGTGAAAGCTATTTCGGGAGTGCAGACTGTTCGTTTTAAAAATGAACTAGAAAGGAATATCACTATTAAACTTGGTGAGCACACTTAAATGTATTAATTCTTTTCTCTGTAAATTTATTAATTTTGAAGAAATCAGTTAATCTTACACAAATGTACCTTTTCGTATTAAAATTTATTAAAAAACATTCTTTTACACAAACGTGCCTGTGTAGAAGAATATTTTTTTATATAAGTACACTATAACAAATCTTTTAAATCAGACTTATCCAAAGCTTAGCTCGCAAGTTAAACGCTTTTCCCTTCGTTATATAGCTCTGGCTTATAGTATGGGATAATCTTATGACTGAGTTGATACAGCCAGTCGTATCAGTCACTAAAGCTGACATTGTCAGCACGACAATCAATACAAGGATTGTAATCCAGCTATTAAAAATCAATATGAAAACAAGCATTGTGTGCCGCCAACTTGTTTCTATCGATGTAGTTTAATCTTGGTGTAACTTATTTTTTATCTTCCTTCTGTTTTAACAGTAACATTATGCTTTGGGCTGCCTCTAATTTGATTTATGTAGTGTTTTTTATTTAGTATTTGGAATGTAAAATTATATAGAAAAGGAATTATATGCTGAGTGAATTATTCAAAGTTATGTGAATCGCTATTTTTCAGTGAAAATCAGAAAATCTGTAAATCCTCATATAAGCCATAAATTAAGTGAACCTCACCAATTTTGATCTTTTTTTGTCCTTATTGTGATCTTAAAGAAAAATTTTATTTTTTATTGAATATAAAGCAGAGTTTAAAAAAATTTGAATTTTTAAGAAAAAAATTTAATCTAACGAGGTTTTTTGGAGACAATTTGGAGACTGAGTTTGGAGACTGGAACTGAATTTTTCTAGGTTTTATGCATTTTTATTCCTTATTAAATTAAAATTGGTGAGGTTTACTTAGATTTTCCGATTTTCCTGAAAACTAATGATTTATATTAGGTATACAACTTTGCTTCCGCCGTTTTTTTCTGAAATTCGAGGCTTTATTGTAAAAAAATTGGTTATACATTTATGATTCGAAGTATTGTCCATCGCTGGCCACTACTTTCTCCCATCTTTTGGGTAGCGTACGAATCCCGCGTCGAAAAAACTGGTCATCTTTTGCTATCCACGAATCGATCCAATTTTTTACTTCTTCATAAGACCGGAAGTGCTGGTCAGCCAGGCCGTGTGCCATTGATCGAAACAAGTGATAGTCAGAGGGAGCAACGCCTGGAGAATACGGCGGGTGGGGTAGGACTTCCCATTTCAACGTTTCCAAGTATGTCTTGACCACTCTCGCAACATGGGGTCGAGCATTGTCATGTTGCAAAATCACTTTATCGGCCGTTTGTCTTTTTGTGCTCGGCTCAAACGCATCAATTCACAGGCGTTCGATATCGATCGCCTGTGATTGTTTCAGTCGATTTTAACAGTTCATAATACACTACGCCGAGCTGGTCCCACCAAATACAGAGCATGACTTTGGAGCCGTGAATATTCGGTTTGGCCGTCGACGTGGAAGCATGGCCGGGAATTCTCCATGATTTTCTACGCTTGGATTATCGTAATGAACCCATTTTTCATCCCCAGTCACAATGCGATGTAGAAATCCCTTCCGTCTTTGCCTTTCAAGCAGCTGTTCACAAGCAAACAAACGCCGTTCAACATCTCTCGGCTTCAATTCGTACGGCACCTAATTTCCTTGCTTCTGAAACATTCCCATGGCTTTGAGGCGTGTTGAAATGGCTTGTTGAGGCACTCCCAATGATCGTGCTAATTCTTCTTGATTTTGACACGAGGCTTGCTCAAGTAATGCCTCCAATTTTGCATCTTCGAAAACCTTCTCTCTTCCACCGCTATGCCGGTCTTCGACGTCAAAATCACCGTTCTTGAAGCGTTGAAATCACTCACGACACGTTCTTTCACTAATAGCGGCTTCATAAGTATTTGAGAGCATTCGATGAGCCTCAGCCGCAGATTTCTTCATATTGAAGCAAAAAATTAAAACTTTCTGCAAGACGAGAATTTGGCTCGTAAACTGACATTTTCAATCGAGAATAACTTTATGATGCAGACACAAATCGACTAATGTTTCTATGGGGTTATGTTGACAGATACCCAAGTTTATTGTATGACGTCTATGATCTATTTATTTCGACCACCGCTTACCGCTAAAGCCATCTATAGGAAAACGGCGGAAGCAAAGTTGTACACCTAATAATAACTATAACTTTGAATAATTCACTCAGTACATAATTCCTTCTACATGATTATACATTCCAAATACTAAATAAAAAACATTACATGAGCCAAATTCAAGGCAGTCCAATGAATAGTGTTATTGATTAGAACATATATAGGGTGTTTTATAAATGTATATCAATACTTTAAGAAGTAAATTTATACATCGAAATAAGTAAAAAACGTTATATGAACATACGTCCTACATATCTTAGTTTTCAAGTCATGGATGATTAAAAAAAATATTCAAAATATTTGCCTCGTGTCAATTCACGCTGCTGCACGCCTTATGGCGGCTGCAGACATTTAACTATAGGTCTGTTCTTTCTAGCTAAAGTTCTTGTACGATTTATTCTTTAATTTTATTTTTTCTTTCTTTTCTACATTGGAGAAATAAAAGAGAAAAAATGAACTCTAAGAAGTAGTTCAGCTAAAAAGAAGGGAGGAGGGTATAACAACTGGAATGTGTGCACTGCCATGCTAATATATTAGTTGAAAGAGTTTGGAAAATGTGAACGAAATAGCATGATATTTGGCGGGTATATCTTTCTTTTTTTAACGTGCAGCAGGCACGAGTTTAGCATCGAGTTTCGCACTTGTTAAAAAATATATTAGATATTTTCGAATAATCTCAAATTTATTATTTATTTCAAATTCATTATTCAAATCAAATTTATTATTATTTATTTTGTTCCTTTCTCGCAGATCATCCACAAACGACTATTAGATGACTATATGCCTATGTCTATGATTTACATTGATAAGTATTTTAACTTCTTTTCAACCAGTAGAAAATTTTATTTCTATTAGAATGTAGTATTTTTTCCAAATATAAAATTTATAAAAATAATTAACGTCACAATTTATATCTTTTAAGCTTTAGAATCGTTTGAAAACATATTTTAGATCTTAAACGTCTAAAGAAAACATGTAGATAAACATTTTTCTGAATAAAAAAATCTGAAATATTTTTATGTTTGTGTTTTTAAATTTTAAAATGTTATATATAAAATTTTTCTATTGTAATTTATATCTAAAACCTTCTAATTGTTATTTAAATACCTCAAAATTGTGATAAACTTAACTCAATTAATATAATTTAGACAATTATGGCTATGTTTCGAAATTCAATGCCAACGCTGAAAATACAGGGTGTCCCAGAATGACATAAACTGAATCGAAAAATCCTCTCATTCATTTTTTCAATAATTATCAAGATTACTAAAAATCCCCGAATATTGGTTTTCAATCATTTTTTACTGAAATATTATCAACTTTACAAAAAAAAATCAAAAGATAAAAATTGTTTATTTTCTTCTCGTAGAGCTTTAAGAATTTTTAGAATTTTTTATAAACTTTTTAGTACTGCATTTTCTTATTAGCAATTATTTTTATTACATTAACATGAGAAAATGATAATAAATAAAAAATTATGAAAAAATTCTCAGAATTTTATGAGAAGAAAATAAGTAATTCTTGTCTCTCGCTGTTTTTTTTTTGTTTTTGTAAAGTTGATAATATTTGAGTAAAAAATTATTGCAATTCAATATTCGACGATTTTTATTAATTAATATCTTGTTAACTATTGCGAAAATTGTAGATAAAATGATAGAGGACTTTTTGAATCTGGTTTAGTTTGCTCTACTAGCACAAGAAATATTTAGCGATTATTCTGGGACATCCTATATATAGTTTATATTAGCACTATAGATGCACTATAGATTTTCAGTATTGAGTGAATTTTGGAAGACAGCCATAATCATCTAAAATAAAAATCTTTATATATAGATGTCTTATCACACTTCCTATAGGAAGAGACGACTATAAGACACTTATTTAAATGTCTACAAGTGTCTAAAAGATGTATACAAACATCTTATAAACATATTATAGTCGTTTTGTAAACGTTTATAGACATGTAAATATGTGTCTTATAATCGTCTATTTCGAAACACAAAAACGTTTAAATGATCAAATTCCAATGTCTACATCAATTAATGTTTTAGACATTGATTCAACGTCTTTTCAACCATTTCTCACTGAATATAGAAGATTTTAAACGGTCACAAAAATCTAATGGACTGAAATAGAGAGATTGTGGTGGTTATGGAGTCTGTCTTTTTTGCCCTATCCATCGATTTATTTACAAAGACATTAGGATGTTTTCACTTCAAGATGAAAATAAATCGAAGTACCAAGTGCATGAACGACTATACATCAAATGTATTATGCATGTCAGCCATTTCAGCATAAGTGTACATTATTATTTTACCTCTTTTAGAACAGTATTTAGAATAGTAACTCGCGAATTATAAGATACCGACTACCTGAAAATCTGTCTGATTTGTATGTGATGGATATTGTTTATAAACATTAAATAATGTCTAGATGTGCTAGGATGTGTTTCGAATTACGCAAACTTGTTTTGTAAATAATAAAGAAGGCTAAAACGATAATTTTTATTGGCTAAGCTGTATAATAGTTGTGTGTTGACACACAAGGCGGGCATTTCGAACATTTTTTTAAATCATCCTAACTTGAAAGCTAAGATAGGGAATAATAATCACAGTAAATGATGTCTTATGCTGCTATAAGTCTATCATCTCAATTCTTTCATTTATATATATTCTTCTAAAATTTCGGTCGAGCCATAAAAAAATGTTTTTCTCTTTTTATTATTTTATTAAACTAGACGAAGACAAATATAAAAAAGTAGACCTAAAACTCTGTCTAGTGATTAGCTCTTCTGGCGTTTATTTTATTATCTAGTTTATTAAATGTTTTACTGTTTAAATACTGTCGATATTGAGCGAAAAATATAAGAGAAAAAAATAGTGTGACATTTCTTTATGTTGTTAATATATCAAAACTCATATTTAAGTTATGTTAGATTATATAAATGAGGTAAGTATTTATCAGAATACAGAGAATATATCTTATTCAAAGTTGTTACCTGGAAAACCGCGAAAACTAGGAAAAGTCAGGAAAAAATGTAAAAAAGTTTGGAATTTCGAAATTTGCTCACAATTCTCTGAAACTGCTCCTATTTCAAATTATTGTTATAATTTTTTAAATATTATATTTGACGTTTATATTCAAATACGTTCAAATACGTTCACTTATTCACTTTAAACGATTTTAATAAAATAATTAAAATTTATATTTTATTCAGTATTTTTATTTGATCACTCTTTTTTGTCATAATTGCATTCTTTTTTTCCAAAAATTAATTTATTATATAAAAATAAAAATAAAAATTAATTTATTTTTTGTTATGACTTAAATTTGTTTCCAAAATTGTACTTGTATGCTACCAAACTTTTTTTTGCGTTGTTTTTAATAATATAGACTAATTTTTTTACAATCCGTGAGTCTAAATGTTAAAATTTACATATTTTATATTACTCATGGAAAATTTTCTATTTTCATCTGAAAACCTGGAAAAATCAGGAATTTTAAGATTTATTTTCTGTGCGTAGAACAACCCTGTTATTCTACGATTTATTCATATCATTTTTATCCTCTTACAACTGCATTGTAAGAGGATAAAGATTCTTTAAGATGGAAAAAATGTAAGTTTGCCCAGTGATGCATATTAGGATCCGAGCACGTCACGTTCGGCTCAGCACGACTGAGCCTGTTTCACTCGCGCTCGATGCGGCCGAAAGTTGCCGAATGCAAAAAGGACCGACGTATCTCGCTATCGTGCTTTAGTCGAATTCCGGCTTTCAGTACCACTTGGTAATACGTGGGGGAGGAGTGGAGGTAGTTGCCGATAACTATAGATATGAGTTTACGTACTCAGCTATAACTGTAGCTATTGGTATCTGTCCCCACTCTTCCCTCATCACGCTACCAAGCGATCTGCTAGCAAGCCGGAATCTGACACCACTGACTGCTGAACGTGGTAATATGCATCACTGTCTTCAATTTGTCAGAAAAATTTGTCAAACAAATTTATAACAAAATAATTTTCAATGAGATAAAGGAAAGGTAAGGCATTTAACTTGTGAGCTAAGTTTTGGACAAGTCTGCTTTAAATGTTAATTTCTATTAAAAGGATTAAATATTCTTTAATACAAGAGATATTTAAAAAGTTTCACGAATGAATACATAGATGATGTCAGAAAAAAATTATTTGCGTGATTTTACGCCATTTTTTATAGCGTCAACATTATATAATTTTTCTTTCCAGCGTCATCTATTATTCGCAAAAATTTTTAAATGTCTCTCGTAACATTACAAAGATATATAGCCGAGAAAAATTTCACATATTTACTGTTAAAGTGATAATGACAAATAGTTACTTAAAAAATAAAATAAAATTTTAATTTTAATCTTTATATTATTACATCTTTTGAAATGTGAATTTTGATAGGAAAAAATTGAGATAAGAGGTAAGTATAATTTTTATACTATAATACAATTAAAAATTAATTAACATTTTGAAGTATTCATAGTCGTACAATAATCCTATAAATAATAATAAGCCTAGTAGCGAAATATCTATCGACTATGACTATCAGCCCATGACTCGCTCTATTTCCATTAAAATATATATAAATATCTTTCGAGGCTTCCATGACCTTCTTCAAAGAAACTGGTTTGCGGATTAACTCCATATCTTGGAACATTGTTAAATGTCAATATTTTATAAATATTTTATAAATATTTTATAAATATTTTATAAATAGTTTATTTCATTAGAACGAGAACAATGCCGATTTACTTCATTAGAGTGGTCCTCACTTTGATGAAGTGAACTGCAGTATTTATGAAACGTTGGCATTTAAGGCAGGGTTCGACAAGGTGGGCTCAATCCAATAAAATTCAACAGTCATTTCATCTTTTTTAAGTGGTTCTTAAGTGGTTTTTTTTAATGGGTCCGACCCAATAAAACCCGGTGCGTTTACTAATATTTACTCAATGCATGCGTAGCCTTTTTTATTTCACAAACGTTTTTCGACTATTTACTGACTGTCAACAGGGGCAAGGATAGTCCCATTTTTTACAAGTATTTCACAGCGATATTATTCCGTTTTATTCAATTATCTTTATTTATAAATGACACAAGAAAAATCAACATGTCATTTCTCGCTTATGATTTCACGATTCAATATGGCTGAGGTGAGTACTCGGGAGCCTTAATAATGCCAAGATATAAAAATAATCCGCAGACCGTAGCTTCTTTAATATATGCATATTTTCGGCATTTAACATCAAAACTATGATATGTAGTAATCATAGTATTAATATTTGCTAATAATTCGTGCACATTTTATGCCGTTATACATTATTGTTTGGAGTTTATTTGTAATAAAATACTTGACGAGGAGATTTTACATGAACATCTTGCGTAATACTTGTATAGAGAGAGTGTTTTATAACTTTCATCAAAATGCAAATTGAAACAATATCATATGCATTCAAAATGAAAAAGTGTCCACAAAAATTTCTTAATTCTCTTAACTCGTGAAGCTGCAATAGGATGAAAAGCCGAATATGTCTTAAGAAGATATTAGAATCACACGCTGTCATTATTATGTACCACTCGATTATGACATGAACAAAGCACCTCGATGTTATTTATTGCTATTATTCGTTCGGCAAGCCGAGACAAAAGGCGAAAAGGAACGTTGAGGAGAAGGATAATGAAAACGAAACGAAACATATGGAAAGGAAAAATGAGCGAAAAAGAAAGAAAGTTCATTCGAAAAAATTTGAAAAAAAGGTAAAAAGAAAGGTAGAACATAAAGAAATGACGCTATTTGAATGTTTGATATTGCAGACGCGGCGGGTTGCAGCAGCAGTGAATCAGCAGCTACACCTGGCAGCATAGTTAGTGAAAAGTCAGCCGTTACCCATAAACAACATTTATCCACAAACATCTCTTCTACTGGATACCTTTATCCATCGTGCGCCAAGATGCCCAAAGTTCACGATACACAGGACCACAACAACATATCTCATCGCTTGAATGGCATGCGCCTGCGTCATTCTTCCTCCTCCAAACGACGATACTCCTATTGTGCTGGATGCCTTGACACATCATCGTGCGCCAAGATGTCTAAAGTTCACGACACACGGAACCACAACAATATATCTCGTCGCATGCTCCTGCGTCTTCCTTTAGGTTCCTCCTCCTCTTCATTGATGTGTTTATTGTCTTCATCATCGCATCAAACAATTAAATGCCAGAAGATGCTTGAAGCATTTGACGACGATAGCTCTAGCACGCGTAGCGGAAGTACGAGCACGAGGGATCTAAGTAGTGACGGCCAGCAATCCGACTATGAGGAATTATCATCCAATGGTAGATTATTCACGCGAAGAGACATGATTCCATTTAATTTGAAGCTGAAGGAGTTGCGAGTGAAGTTGTCCGATGTTCTACACAATGAAAAGCATCAAAAATTAGTCACAGCAGCGCTCGCAAGATCCTCTTCCGCGTCCAACAAGAATAAAATGAAACTCTGGGAAGTGGAGAAAATTCTACAAAAGCGTGAACATAGGGGACAACCACACTATCTAATCAAGTGGAAAAACTGGGATATCAATCACAACTCATGGGAACCGTTGCAGAATCTCAACTGCGAAGAACTGGTACATGAATTTGAGAATGAGCGGAAAGAGTTGATTACTCAATTCAAGATAATGGCGAACTTCTATCCAGACAAATTCGATGTTGAGCTTCTTCTGGCACGAAAATATGAAAAATGTAATAAAACGATCATTGACGCTACAGACGATGCTATTGTTGCCATCGCTGGGGATACTATGTACGTCAAAATTCGACGGTACCTAAATTCAAACTCGCGTAATACCGAGTTAGAGCAAAAAATTAAACGACAGATGTTGTTCATGCTGATGCTTGAGCTGCGGCGTGACCAACTCGAATCCCTAAAGAAGTGGGAGACCAAAATGAATGATGTTGCGAAGGGTAAGCCGATGATAAAAGTGGAGAACCTGGTGGATCTGACGAGTGCACCGCAAAACTTCGAGTATATCAACGAGTATGAATCAGATGAAGATCAGATTAAGATACCGGATGATCCACCGCTCGGTTGCCAATGCGAAGGCATGTGTGGGACCGATAAGAAGTCCAATTGCTGTTTTGCGCAAAACAACAACAAGCAAACATTGCCATACACTTCGACCGGCCAGTTACGCGTGATTGCAGGGACACCTATCTACGAATGCAACAAGCGTTGCACTTGCGATGAGACTTGTCCGAATCGGGTGGTACAATTAGGTACCAACGCACAATTGTGCATTTTTCGAACGAACAATGGACGTGGCTGGGGTGTGCGCACCCAGTGCGCGATCAAGAAAGGTACTTTCGTGATTAAATACGTGGGTAAAGTGATTAAAAGCAAGGATGCAGATAATTGTAGTAAAGAGTACAATGAGACAGGTTGTACATATCTCTTTGACCTTGACTATAACCAACAGCCGTGCCCGTATACCGTGGATGCAACTAAGTGTGGCAATGTGTCACATTTCATTAATCATTCTTGCAATCCCAATCTCAAAGTCTCGGTGGTTTGGATCAACTGCCTGGATCCGGATTTGCCGGATCTCGCGCTATTTGCTCTCAGGGATATTGAACATAATGAAGAACTTACATTCGATTATGGTACGCAGATGTCGCGCAACAATGTGACTTCGACAAATAGGGACGCTTGCAAGTGTGGTGCCGCAAATTGTCGGAGATATTTGTTTTAAGGAGTATGCTTATCGTGTAATTTTCGTAAGCGACAATTGATGTTAATCTTAATTTTTTTTTTTCTGTATATATTACTGCGTTAGTGACAACTATAATTGAAAAGAGAAGAATGTACTCAGGACTGAGATGAGAATAGTAACTCAGGCAGTATGGTTACTCAAAATTTCATTTGCAATTATTTTTCTAAGCTCAATCTCTTTCGAATTATAATTGCGTCAACAAAGTTGTGAGTAATTATAAAATTATTTAACTTGCTATTAACAAAAAATGATTTTATATATAATTGCTACAATCCTTCAAATTTTAATGCATTATTTTTTTATTCAATGCTAAAATAATTAATTTTAATATCATAAAAGTCAAGCCTACATATAAAAGCACTTATATAAAAGCAATTTTTTCAGTAAAATGTAAAATAAAAGCTTTTGAAAGTTTAATAACTATATAAAATCAATGTTATATCTCATTATAAAGAATGTATTTTGATCATAATTCGCAGTTGATGCGATGACAAATGATTTTAATTTTATCTATTTTGCTTGTTAAAGAATTGAGACTTTAAAGTACAAACTGTAAACTTTAAACTGAGGAAAAAGGTTTTTGTGGTAAATATGTTAGGAAAAGTGGAAAGTTGTGGTTGAATATAAAAGAAAGACATCGAAAGAAACATGCTAGGAGAAGTGTTTAACTAGGAGATAAATAAGACTGCACATAGACTTTTTTTTTAATATTGTTATTGAATAATAATTATTATAATGTATTAAGTTTCATGAATATACTGAATTGTTATATGAGAGTGAGACATTGCATGATTTGTTTTAATACATTTTGTGCTAATTTTTATACTTAGCTAATTGTACAAATTAAACACAAATACAAAGAAATATGATTAAAAATTCACATTCTTCAATCACATAATAACATCGAATTTTATTGTATATTATTTTTACAATTTGTATAATAATATATTACTTTTTTCTATTTTTCCTTTCTTTTTTTGGAGAACGCAGATTATATATTTCTTGAGTTATACAAAGTGTCCCATTTTAAAGGATCTACTCAAATATCTTAAACATCTTTGAACTCTTTAAATGGAACTCCCCATTTTTTATTACAGATTTTTCTTTTAGCTCATTTTAATGTTCTAAAAAGCTCTCAAGGTAAGCTACAAGAATATGTAATGAAAAATGGTGGTTCCATTCAAAAAATTCAAATCTTGCCCTGATCTCACTAATGCCACTCAAGGTTGAATCAACGGTATCATCTCATGTCTCCTTCGAAGTAAAAAAACTTTTATCTGAAACATTTTTCGATTTAATACAGTATTTCTGAAATATTTTGAGTAGATCCTTTAAAATGGGACCTCCTCTGTATATTTCTTGCTTATATCTATATGTGTATTACATTTTGAACGTGTCAAGTTTACAGTGTTTTCTAATTAGATTTTAGAGAAAATCTAGGATCTTGTTTATTCCAACTTTTGTAAATGTAAATGATACTTTTAATTATATAATTAAAGATATTTCAGGAAATAAAATTAAAGAGGCAAGACTTTGAAAATTAGAAGACGCTACGAATGTGAATTATTCAATTAAGCATAAACCATGCATTAAGAAACAACACCGTTATAATGAAAACGCTAAGAATACATATGAACACATTCTCAATATCTTGTTGTTCATCAGCACATTGATTATATGTGTCAATTTTTATGTATTATGACCGTGCGCCATAATTTATAAATACATTAATTTTTGTTTTAATCACAATCATTTAGTAAATTCGTGATTACAACTTTTATTTGTAGAGTAAAAGACAGAATCTTTGATGGAATCTGCATTTATGGAAAGCATAGTCCTATTTAATACACTGTTAGAAATATTTCCTTTAGATATAAATGAAACTCGTTACGAACAAAATTAAAAATAATGGATGATTTAATAGTAATGGATGAAAATTAAGTCACAATAATTACTTAAATATAATGAACATGTACATTAAATTTATGAAAAATACATTAAATTTCATGTACATGCACACAAATATACTTTTCAGTTATAAATATAATATTAAATTTAATGTAATGTCATGAAGTTAAGTTCAAATTGTGTAACTTAAAAGTATATTAAATTTCAGGAAATTTTTAACAGTGTATATTTCTTCGGTAAACGCGATTAAGTTCCACGAAAAAAAGTACTCTATTTTTATTCCAAGGAATAAAAATATTTCGATTACTTTTATATTGTATACGTTAGATAGTAATTGATAGTTATTAGAAAATCTTCGTGAGAGGATCTCTAGACATTAAAGGTAACGGCGGAAGTCGATTTTTTTATTCTGAATGATGGACAATTAGATACATTATGTAAAGCATAATGCGACAAATTCTCCACAACTAAAGAGTCTGATCGCGTTAAGATATGCCAAAGAAATTAATAATTGTGTAATAATTGTGTGACAGCATACAATTCGATTTCCGCTATGGAAATATCGAAGATGAATACATTCATACATATGCTTTTCTGTAATAATATCACAGCTAATAACATTAAACATTATCACATTGCAGTATTAAATAACTATAAAACCGAGAATTTGTTTTACGTTGCCATTGTATCTTTTGACCACATCGGGATATAAATATATGTTAATTAAAAATAAGATTTGTCTTTAAGTTGTATTGTTATCTTAAAGGCGAGACTGTCTTAAGATCGTGTACATTCAATTGATGACCGTGTACATTTCATTCGACTATTTTCTTATATCTCTTTAGACAAAAAGTCTTCGTAAAAGGATTAAAGGTCGGAAGTCGACTTTTTATTGTCTCGGCCCACAACCTTTAGAGGCCTTAAGAGACCTAAAGTCATAAGTCGAAAGAGATTAAGTGACAATAATTTCTGCCTTTAAACTGTTTTTGTGCAGTCTTTAGGCTTTAACTATTAAACTTAAGCGAATTGACCCATTTCTTACGATCTAAAAGTATAAGTTCTGTGACCGATATATCATCGCTTACAAATTACAGTTTATGGTCTTTTAAAGCAAGGTTGTGGACTTAACCTTAGTCTGAATAGTTAGATACATATTATGCAATATATAAAGCATAATCCGACACGTATAAATTCTCCACAAGAGTCTGATTGCGTTAAAAGATATGAAAGAACAATCACTGTAACAATTGTGTAACAGCAATTTGATTTTCACTATGGAAATATGAAAAATGAACACATTCTCACATATGCTTTTCTAATAATGTCGCAGTTAACAATATTAAATATTGTTGTGTTGCAGTATTAAATAATTATGAAACATGAGAATTTATTTTAAATCAGTAGTTGTCATCATATCTTTTGATCACATCGGGGCGTAAAGGGTCGACATAAACATATGTTAAGTTAAAACTAAAATTTACTTTTAAGATGTATATTTGTATCTTATAATCGGGACTCTGCTTGGGACCGTATACATGTGCCACTCTATCGTTGTATTTTCTACACAGAATATCTCGATTGGTGAATATTTTCTTACGTCTTTTAGATAAAAAATTACATTATTTATGTATATGTCGATAAGCTTATGGTACTATTTATATAAGTCGGTATTATAAGAGATAAAAAAAACAGTTATTATAGCTAAGAAAGAGTAAAATTCCTGTAAAATTGATTCGTATGCACGTTGTTATATGGATGGATGAACTGAAGTTTTTTACGAGATGAATTATGATTCATCGTGTTTATCTCTTCTCAAGTAAAATTCTATTATAAAAAATTTCCATGACATGTTTATTTTCCATAGTTTATTTTCCCATAGCACGAAATTGTTATACATTATTTTGATGACATTTTGATAACATATAATGCACGTAATTATTTCATTGTATAAAGTTTATAATGATAAAGTAAGTTGTCTGATAAATATAGACCACAAGCAACTAGATACGTGGATTGACATCATCTAACAAATATATTTTTATGTCTATAATGTATACATATAATATATACATATAGTTATTAAAATTAAAATTCTTACGAATTAAAATTAAAATTCATGCTGAAAAGGAATTTATTTTGGACAGTATACAGCGCTTATTAAACCCTTTCGAAAAGAAATAATCCTCGCCAGAAGAAAAAAAAAGAAGGGCAAATTATCTGATTGCTCTTCTTCATTTCAGGATACGCAAATGCGAAGATTTATGAATGTGAAAATCCGAAATGTCCTCGACCTGGACGCTACATATCCGGTGGATCCAGCAAAGATGATTCTTTTCCTTGCATGCGTTCTGTTTGTTCAGGGAGATTTCAATTGGTTCGACATGTCTCCTTTGTCGATTGTCCTGGACACGATATTCTTATGGCGACTATGCTTAACGGAGCAGCTGTTATGGATGCCGCTTTGCTTTTAATCGGTAAACGATATATTTGTTGATGTTGATCATAAGGCATTGTTTTATCTTTTTTCAAAGTAATAAACTTTTTCGAAGTTATGATTCTATTGAATTGTAGCTGGCAATGAATCATGCCCTCAGCCTCAAACGTCGGAGCACTTGGCAGCTATCGAAATTATGAAACTTAAGCACATAGTCATCTTGCAAAATAAGATCGACTTGGTTAAAGAAGCACAAGCCAAGGAGCAGTATGAGCAAATATTGAAGTTTATTCAAGGTATTAGTTTTTTATCTCAAAGTATAATTTCAGCGAAGCTTCACCGGCGAAATTTCCCGATTCCGCTGAAAACGATTTCTTGCTAGATTCCTAGCTGGATTAGAATTTTACCATCGTATTGGCTGCGTACAGCCAATATGGCGAGAGATTTATTCTGGCTAAAGCCTTGTGTTCATAATGCTAGAAATTCTTGATCCGAGACTTCGAATGAAAAAAGAATTGATCAATCATGTTGGTCATATAATCAAATTGTATTCAAATTGTATATGTTAATCCTTTCTTTATCCAAAATCTTGGATCGATTTTTAACATTAGGACATAAGACTTAACAATCCAATAAGAAAATAAATATCGTCGGCTTTATTACTTGTTCTTACCTTTTTATTGAATGAAGATTCGCTGGTGAAACTACTGTCATCATTGATTCTTTACCTCAAGGTATAATTTCATGCAGCGAAACTTCACTGGCGAAATTTCCCCATTCCGCCGAAAACGAAGTAGCGTTCGAAAGAACACTGAATTTCTTTTATCTGCTCTTACCTTTTCATGGAAGATTTCAAATTTCGCTGACAAAGCTACTGCCACTATGCTATAAATGAAGAAGCATTGAAGAAGCGCATTCAAAAAATTGACCAGTCAAAAATACTTCAAAGCATTTGATCAATCAAATAGACCATAGTCAGTGGCAGTGTTGTTCGCTGACAGACTAGGAGAATTTCGCCAGCGAATTTTTGCTGCATAAAATTATGTCTTAAGGAGATTCTAAAGACGATTAGCTATATTGGAAATAGCATATACATACAATTTATGTATCATTGAAACATTACTGGTGAAATGAAATGGTTTTCTTATATGTTGTAGCTTATGACCTGCTAAACAAAACATAAGTTTTATAGCGTAAAAAAATGAATAATTCTCGATTCATTTACACTGGCTGACATCTCATCATAAAATATTCAATAACTTCTAAATGGCTAAAAAAAAATCAATAAAATTATAATGTGTCGAAAAGGTCTCAACAAGAATTACAAGAAAATGAAAGAAAAAGTGGGAGATCTCATTTAAAAAATTCGAATTGATTTTGCCCTACCTTGGCGACGCCACAAAGGCTCAAAGTCAAACTGATGAAGTCAGCAGCTAGGTCTTTTTAAACTTTTTCTACAACTTCTATCTAAAACATTTTTTTATAAAACTTATAGTTTTCCAGATTGCCGTCTCGAAACATGTATGTTCCATATATGATTATATATACCATGTATAATTATATGTATTATTCCACATATAATTACATATCATATATAATGTATGTACACATGTATAAAACATGTATAAAATGATATTTTGTTACAAAATATGTAATGTAATTCCTAGGATCTGAATGATGAAAATAACATAAGTTATAATATATGAGAAAATTATTTGATTTCACCGGGACCCAATTTCATATAGGATTAGTGCGGGATTCTTTTGGTATAAAAAAAAATTACGTTTTAATTAAACTAATTTTACCTGTTGGATAAGTGGCAAAATTATGTCGTAATCGTATGTGCGGATTGCCAGATTTACCTAACAGGTAAAATTTACCAAAAAGTGGAACAATGCACGCGCCCATTTATATAATTCTGGTTACATAAATACAATTCTGGTTACATAAAAAAGTTTAAAATTAGGGACGGTGGCGGAAGGCGCTCCAATAATTCCGATTTCGGCGCAACTGAAATATAATATCGAGGTACTGTGTGAATATATTACCAAGAAAATTCCGGTTCCAATGAGAGATTTCACATCGGAGCCTCGACTGATCGTTATTCGATCTTTTGATGTGAATAAACCGGGCTGTGAGGTGGACGATTTGAAAGGTGGTGTCGCTGGTGGTAGCATCCTCAGAGGAGTATTGAAAGTATAAACCAGATTAGTTTCAAATCAGGTTGATTTCTCTAGATATGTGGTATGAAAATTAATACAATTTTATTATAGGTCGGTATGGAAATTGAAGTTCGTCCAGGATTAGTGTCTAAAGATAGCGAAGGCAAGCTGACCTGTCGTCCGATATTTTCACGTATTGTGTCTTTATTCGCCGAACAGAATGAACTGCAATTCGCTGTACCTGGTGGTCTAATTGGTAAACAATTATTAAAATTCTATAATAATATAATTGAAAAATAAGATTCTCAAATGTTTGTTATTAATCACCCTAATATGAACAGATAATAAGTTCTGATCATTTTGTAAGAGTAATAGATTATGTGATTTTTTTTTAAGGTGTTGGAACCAAAATCGAGCCTACTTTATGCCGTGCTGATCGTTTAGTTGGGCAAATTCTTGGAAGTGTCGGTGCATTGCCACAAATATTCATCGAGCTGGAAATTTCGTATTATTTATTGAAACGTTTATTAGGAGTGAGGACCGAGGGCGATAAAAAGGGTGCGAGGGTGAGTATTTTCAGTTTCTGCATTTGCATTATCACATTCAAATTAATATGTTTTCTGTAACTGTACAAGTTTAAGATTACTCTTAATTAGCATTCTTATAAAAATACATTATAGATATATGAACATTTTATATGATGATTTATATTCTGATATATAGGATGTCTCTGCATAGCTACAGCGGCTTTAGCATGGAAATAAATCGAAAATGTTTAATAAACATATGTCCAATTCCGAACGATTTCGGACTTACGGGATATTGAAGTAAGAAAACATGAGTAGTAAAGTTGTTTAATGTTTTACGTTTATTTAATGCTTTACAAAAAATGTTCAAAAATTCCTCCGTCGACACTTTCTAGCACGAATTATTAGGTGTATAACTTTGCTTCCGCCGTTTTCCTATAGATGGCTTTAGCGATAAGTGATGGTCGAAATAAATAAACATCATACAATAAACTTGGACATCTGTCAACATAACTCCATAGAAACATTAGTCGATTTGTGTCTGCATCATAAAGTTATTCTCGATTGAAAATGTCAGTTTACGAGCCAAATTTTCGTCATTTACGGGAGGTTTTAATTTTTTGTTTCAATATGAAGAAATCTGCGGCTGAGGCTCATCGAATGCTCTCAAATACTTATGGTGAGGCCGCTATTAATGAAAGTCGTGAGTGGTTTCAACGCTTCAAGAACGGTGATTTTGACGTCCAAGATCATGCTCTGTATTTGATGGGACCAGCTCGGCGTAGTGTATTATGAACTGTTAAAACCGACTGAAACAATCACAGGCGATCGGTATCGAACGCAATTGATGCGTTTGAACCGAGCATTGAAAGACAAACGGCCGCAATACAACGAGAGACACGATAAAGTGATTTTGCAGTATGACAATGCTCGACCCCATGTTGCGAAAGTGGTCAAGACATACTTGGAAACGTTGAAATGGGAAGTCCTACCCCACCCGCCATTCTCCAGGCGTTGCTCCCTCTGACTATCACTTGTTTCGATCAATGGCACACGGCCTGGCTGACCAGCACTTCCGGTCTTATGAAGAAGTAAAAAATTGGATCGATTCGTGGATAGCCTCAAAAGATGACCAGTTTTTTCGACTCGGGATTCGTACGCTACCCGAAAGATGGGAGAAAGTAGTGGCCAGCGATGGACAATACTTTGAATCATAAATGTATAACCAGTTTTTTACAATAAAGCTTCGAATTTCGGAAAAAAACGGCGGAAGCAAAGTTGTACACCTAATAATAAATTGTTTCGGACTTGACAACAGATATTTGGAGTTTTGCGGAGATATCGGCAGTGTTAAGTATCATAATTGTTTTGTATTCCGAATCTCATTCTGGTAAACTAGATCTTTCATTCAAAGAAAAAAAATCCAGTGGTGTGAGGTCGGAACTTCTCACTGGCCATTTAATAGGACCAACCTGGCTTCTCTCAATCCAATGAGAATAGTGGTCATGGAGAAATGTTTGCATACGATGTGTAAAGTGAGATGATGCCCTATCGTGCATGAACCACATGTTTCTTCGAGTTAAGATCTACATCCTCCAACAGCACTAGTAGGTCATCGCTCAAAAAGTGAAAGTAAGCGTCTTCTGTCAGACGAGGAAGCAATTATGGATTATAGGATTCCAGTCCACATATTGATAGTGAATTCTCGCTGCACATGCGACTTTCGGTACATACTGATTAATAAAGATTTAGTTTCTCAGAAAAAGATTCAAGATTCAGAACAACGAACATTAAACAACAATTACGATTACAATTACGATTCATTTTTCTTTAATATCCCGTAACTTCGAAATCGTTCAGAGTCGGACTTATATTTATTAGATATTTTTAAATTGTTTTTCATACATGGCTGAAGCCATTGTTGCTAGTATTTCGGACGATATCGAGACTGGCCTCAGTCTCGTCTCATCGTTTTGGATCGAGACAAGACCAAAATTCTGTTCAAAATTGAAAATTCTTTTCAAATCGAGATCGAGATTATTATATCGAGAGTCTCGGCAAGACTGAGAATCTAGGTCAGTCATCAAACCTTTTACTGAACGAAGAAATCATCCGTGAATATCAATTGTTTTAAGGTCCAGATTATCGAGCCGCAAGATTATTTTGAATAACAAATATTTAATAGAAATGCTCCCGGTTCGAGGTTTAGCTTGATTATCTGGATGCATTTGTCTTTTATTCATTTGTCCGTGGTAAAAATATAATTCGTAAAAAAAATTTCGATTTGAAACCAACAACACTCTCGACTCGAGATCGAGACAATATCGAGAATTTCGGAATCAGATCAAGTCCGAGATAGTCTCATCTCGTTGAGACGAAATCAAAACACTAGCTATTTTGGCACTGTATGCAGAAACACTCTATATAAAGGGTATTAAAAAAGTGTCGAGTTTCGCCCCCAAGATACATCTGAATAATCTTGAAAAATCATTGTTTGATCCTCAGAAATAACATAATAATCATTTGCCCGAAAAGTGATGAGAACATTGTTGGAATTGCTTAAATATAGTTAAAAAATATAGTTAAAAAAATGACATTATTTACATACAGTTAATAAGTGAAAACTTGTGATTTTAACTAAAAATGTAAGTACATTCTTCATATAAAGATGCGATTATTTTAGCATTATCCAGAATGTATCACGTAGGAGCATAGCCCCTATGTGCTTAGTATTCCTTGACAGAAATTAGGATTCCATAGTTTGTCACTTCTGTGGTATTTAGCGATTCCAAACCTTCTCTATCATGTGTGCGTACGTGATACAGATAAAGTGTGAATGAATTTACATTTCATGTGCATTTTCAGAATCTGATGATACTAATAATGACTTTTCCTCAAAATAACCATCGAAGAATGGAGCAAGAATCGAGATATTCTCTTAGAATCGAGTTTTACAAAAAAAAAAATTAACGTGAGAACAACATCTTACAACACGTTGACTTTGCACCCAGAGGTGTATCCAATAATAGCATCAGTTTCTTTTTTTGTTTTATCAATCAATAAATATATAAAATATTTTATAAAATGCGATTGCCTAGAAGTTCACGAAACGTTGACATTAGCAATGGATGAAAACACGACAATAATCCGCAAACTTTCTGGTATTCGTGAAAGTCTAAAAAGTGAAGTTCTATTCTCTGTCAAGAAATGCTAAGCGGACTATATCTTCACGTGATGCATCTTGAATAGTTCATGATCTTTAGATGAAGAATATATATGCTTATGTTTCTGGCTAAAATCATCATTTTTTACTTATTAACTATATATGTAAATGATGTCATTTTTTACTATATTTAAGCAATTCTAGCAATGTTACGCTTCCCAAATAAATGATTATTATTTCCTGTTTTTTGAGGACCCAAACAATGATTTTTCAAGATCTGTTCAAGATGTATCAAGCCTATCAAGATGTATCTTATAGATGAAAATTGACACTTTTTTAACATCCTTTTTTATTATTTATATTTTTTATATCTAGTTTTGTTTTTCCCTAAAATTATGCTTTTATTCTGTAATAAAAAAGATCTTAATTTATTTAATGTTTCTGTAAATATCTCGATGATAGGTTCCGAAGTTATCAAGAGGAGAGGTATTGCTTGTTAACATTGGATCGTTAAGCACTGGTGGCAGAGTACTGGCTACTCGTGCTGATTTGGCAAAGATCAGCTTGACGAATCCAGTGTGCACTGAGATCGATGAAAAGATTGCGTTATCCAGACGAGTGGAAAAGCATTGGCGTTTAATCGGATGGGGTCAAATTTGCGGAGGTCAAACAATAGACCCTATTTTGGATCGAAAATAATGGCGATACTTGATTTAGCTTCTCTCAAAACTATTATTTCTACGATCTGTTTACAACACCACAGTTGGTCTAGTGTCCGAAATATTTATAATAAAAATTTAAAGCTACTCTTGACAAGATTAATTCATTCAATAGCGTTACAATCCAAGTCCTGCAGATCTATTCTAAAAAAATTTCATTATCATTATAACGCCGCTGCGCAGCTTTTTTTTACCGTGGTGAAAGAGCTGCGCAGCAGCATTATGACAACGAAAGGACTATGGCCCAGTTTGGACTCCGGCTGAACAGAATTGAGACTAACTAGGATTGTAGAGCATAAAAAAAGGATTAAAAAGTTTCATATGATATAACTTTGTAAAATGAGTTCCTTGAGTGCTACAGCTGTTCAAAATTCGCTATTATGACCATATATTATGTATCATGTAGGACTAATTTTATTTGATTTCTCGAATCTAATCTGGAATATGTCCAATCTTGACGAAAATAACTCCTTTTTTGAATCTCAAATGAATAGTTATAAGTGATATTAATCGATGAAGAGGAGAGAGAGACACTCAAAGTATAAAACAAAAGATTTTAATTGCCTAATTGAAATGTGGCCAATATATGAACCTTATTTCTCTTCAGCTTTATCATCGGAACTCTCTAAAAGTAAAAAAACATCATTAACTATTTTTGCTGATATATGGATGTCTTCGTCAAAGTGTTGGGCATATCCCAGATACCATATAACTGTCAACCGATTAATGAACTGTACCAAATATATTTTAGATACTACTTCAATATCTCTGGTACAATCCGTTATCTCCGCGGGAAAGGTGCTCTGGACGCAGAGAAATGAATTGGATAAGACTAGTGGTACATGGTCATAATAGCTTTGGATAATTCTAACACCCAGGAAATCTCTCCCATAAAGTTGGGTTTATGGAATTTTTGATTCTCCTTTGATATTTTAAAATTTTTGGTATGTTTTAAAGTTATTCATCTGGGACTCAAATTCCCTTATAAAACTGGACATAGCCTTTCTTCCATCCTTTGCGTTAAGAATTAGGCCTGCTGGTCTTCCATAAATAATATCCGGTACCACATTATGCATTGGAGATTGAGGATTGCAAATTGGATTAGAATTTAGCTAATTAGAGCAAAACAGATTAAAATTAAAATTATCTGGTTAGTTAAATTCTAATTCTTCAATTTCCAATGAGACACTGGCATTAAATCATCACACTATAGATTACTGATTGCGGTTTCCAGTTGACGAGTATCTATTTTAGTCAATTATGATACAACTAACTTATGCTCACTGCATCGCTAAAATAGAACCATTAATTGCCAGTTGTAACTAGCAATCTGTAATGTCATTATGATTTTAGAGAATAATTAAAACTTAATTTTTTTTAGTTTCCTAAAGGTGGGGAGTTTCCTTATCATTTTTTTATGAGAATTATTTACTGTTTATTGTACAATCTCTAATTAGCGCAATGACCGTAGATGTGTTCGTCAACTATACGCACAATTCTTAGTAAGCCAGTAAGATCTCTTTTAATTTACGAATTACAAATTAAAAATCTATGTGAGAAATCAAATTCTAAATCCATCGATTTTAAGATTGTTGCTCTTGCACAAAGCATCCCTCTAATGCTCCACAATTTTCTTAAATAAATATAAAATTATTAGATAAATATTATATAAAAGTTTAGCATTCGGTTGATCTTGAAATAATACAAATAATAGAAAATTTGTGTTTTCATGTCATGTTTATTTTTCGATTATGATCGTGACGCTTGTCGAAGTGACGGCAATCGTAAAACTTGTCGAAATATATCCGCGATCGAGATAGTTTGAATCGCCATAGTTTGAAATAAGGAAGCAAAAGGAGTAAACGCAACATTATGCAGTCACAGAATAAGCAAGACATTGATACAATGCAATATGTCGCTGCTAAATCGCGAGACATATCCATCAATATGAGGAAAATAGGAGAATTAGCAATGGAGGTTATTCTTTTTTCATTCTTTCTTTGAAAATTTGATTCTAAATATTTTGATATAAGTTACATAATTTTGTATAAATGTTATGGATATTTAGTGCAAGTTACTGATTTTATATAAATTTAATTCCCATCAGATTTTTGCAATTGTAGAACAAGTACGTTACTATAAATGAGATTTCAATCGGTTTATTTAGGTAATAGCTTATATGTCTCGCAATCACGATAATAACAATTTTAACGCAGTCACACATAGTTATGTGCGATTGTCGTCCGAATTTCATCCCGAAAAGAATGACAAAAGAGCGGCGGATTGGCTGTTCGTATTGAATACATTGAATTTTGGACTTTGGACTCGAAAGGGTATGCAGGAATGGAAAGTTGATGGATTCACCGGATACATGGCATTGTGCGCTATTATTAAAAGGACTATTGACGTGAGCATATTTTATTTAGTTCTATGTGACATTGCTATATTTCACGTGTTCAAATACACTTTTTTTTGAATACTATATTAATATAATTTAATATTAACATTAATCTTCATTGTTCTTTACGATGTGACACTTATCTAATATTAACTTCTAATATTAATTTCGTTAACAACGTAACATTAATTGCTTCTACTTTTGTTGGCACAATTTTCATCGACTGACATTTTCTAATTTTGTTTTCTATCTAATAACTCTGCTAATTATTGTTTTATTTTATTGATATCATCTTGTAATCTGCTTCGTTCATTTGTACCTATCTGTTATCAGAATTTTTATTAAAGTTTGAAACATAAAAATATACAACGTAAATTAAAAATATAAACAATAACAATAATTATATTAGAACTCTCGAATTTTAAACAATACAAAAAGATAAATATAATAAGCTAATGAGAGTCAGCAACGATAAATGGCGCAATTATTTAGTGAACAATCAATAATTAAATATTGAATTGATGTCTTCTTTATTTTGAACGTTTTGACTCTCTTTGGAGAAGCCTCAGCAAATGATACAAGTATATTTCAAAATCATTTTTACTGAGGAGGATTCCAAAGAGAGTCAAAACATTCAAAATAAAGAAGACATCAATCCAATATCTGATTATTGATTGTTTACGAAATAATTGTTTACTTAATAATTGCGCCGTTTACCGTTGCTGACTTTCATTAGTCTATTATGTTTATCTTTTTGTATTGTTTAAAAATATAAACTTTTCATACTTTTTGTTTCGTCCGTTTCATGAATTTCGACGGAATATTCGCTAAATCTTGTGAGTTTTACTTCACACAGCTTTCTTTCGTATGACAATAGAAACAACATTTAATGTAAAATGCGTTTTTTTTTTGTTTAGAGTATTTTAATTTGCATATTATTTTTTTAAGTATTTCTTGCAGCAAATAAGTTTCCTTCCATCTGGTAAGCATCTCTTTATGTAACAGTATGTGAAAAGTTTCGTATCGTCCAAAAGTCCTGTGCAAAATTACATTATAATAAAATTAATTCTTTCAATTTATTAAAACGATAATGATTGCATAATTTAGAATTGAAAACGTAATATTATTTCTCTAATCTTTTCTTATAACATTACTTTTCATTTTTGTTGTTTCTTTATTTATTTTGTTGTTATAATCTTCTATGAATTTTTGACGGCGAACGTCTATACGTTGCAATAACATTTTTTGTTTCGCAATATTCTTTTCCTGGAACTGCCGCTTTTTTGTCCATCTGAAATTCGTCTTTCTTAAGCAAAAGAATCTTGCAGATTTTTCCTTTTCAGATTATTCTGCTTGTTTACAAGAATTATTAAACTGATTCTTTATTTATCAAAAATATCGCATGGTAAATTTTGTTTTCTATTATTAAATATATTTAATAATGTATGTACTTTTCTTCCAAGTCTCTCTGCTTCTGTTGTGCGATATTCATTAATCGTTTCTCCTTGCCTTTCTTTCGTGCCTTGTCTTTTTTCTTCCAATCCGCCAAGGTATCGATCACTTTACGTCGAGTGAGCTCCGCTGCAATTTTGCATTTTTGCCGAATCTGTTCGATCCGCTCATCACGTTTAATATTTATTAGTCTTCGTTCTTCTCGCCTAACAAGCTTTAACAATTTTAATCTTCGCGCCGTTCTGTACGCTCGTTCCTTCAGTTTTCGAGTTCTCAGTTCCTGTTGTAGTAACCGTTGCTGCACGCGATGCTGTCTCTCGGTAGTCAACTTCTCTCTTTCTTTCAATCTGAATTTATAAAATAGAAATCCTGTTAATAATATACATCTTTGTCATCTTCCTCTTGCGTTAGGCTTCAGGGGATCGATTCTGTATCTTGAAATGAAGTAAAAATTGTAAAAGTGAGCGAATTTACTAGAATACTGATTATTTCATTGATCAACACTTTGTAAATTTGCTCGATTTTGTAATTTTTACTTTGTTTGAAGATACAGAATCGACCCCTTGGTCTGTATTACACCTCTCCCATTAGCTGCGTTCATCATCCGCATTTTAAATCTGGAATACATCAATGACTGCGTTCAATGTACTCAACAGTTGAATGAGCGCTCGCTGCTATTGACTGTGTTCAGCGGACTCAATAGTTGAATGAGCGCTTGTTGTTATTGATGTATTCTTCCAGATCTAAAATGCTGATTGGATGATCTAAAAGAATACATCAAAAACAGCTATGTACACACACACACATACACACACACACAACACAAAACAAATTTTTAAAAAAATTTTAGAAGAGAGAAAACTAGAACTCTGTAGAACTGATAAAACAAAAGTGTTAGTTTGTAATAGCAGAAGAAGAGAGGATGAAAAATAGAAATGAAGCAAAAAGAAGACAAAACAGGTGCAGGAATTCAAGTATTTAGGTTTTATTTTGAATAGAAGGGATAATTATAAAGAGAGCACATACAGGAATTATATAGAAAAGACAAGCTGATGGAAAGGAAGGTCTACGATCTAGATAAGAGGATATGCAGGAATGATTTCAGATAGATTTTATAGATATCTAATGTAAAGTACGTGTTATGGCGTATGAGACGAAAAAATGGGGGGATGAAAAGGAAAAATTAGAAAAGATAATGATGAATTATATAAGGTGAATTTTTAATCTGAAAGAACATAGAAATGCTTATTCTGTGGCAGTGATATATATTTAGGTCTGAGTACGTCGTGTTTGGCTCAGCTGAGCGCGACAGTAAAATACGTCCGTCCTTCTCATATGCGAAAGCTTTCGAGCGCGAGCGAGAGAACTAAGAAATTCTCTCGTGCCATGATGGAAGAGATAACATAGTGTGTGCAGTTGGACAGTGATAGTTTCCACTGAGAGTTTGTGTGTAGCTGTGTATGTTGAAGTGTAAATTCTATTCTATATATTCAAGAAAAGGATATTATGATAACATAAAAAATATTTAGGATGATGAGATATCTCTTTGTTGGTTAGCAGAAACTTTTCACATTAAAAATATTTTCCTTGCCACATAACAATTACGAATTATACCTTTCCGCTTCCTTGCGCGCCTGATCTTCGGCAAAGCATAGGGCTCTCCTCTCGACAAAGAGACGATTTCTTTTTCTCAATTCCCTCTTAATACGATCAGCGTGCAGCTGCCTTAGATATTTCCTGTACTCGTTATAATCGTATAGCGAACACTTTACGTCCATGTTATCTGTGATTAGATCAGCTTTCAGTAGACAGTTTCGATTAATCGGTTTAGAAAAGAATTTAAACAGATGCTCGTCGTGCAAGGGTTCATAAAGGAATTTGGTTTCATGGCAATAAGGATCGTTCAAATTAAATTCTAATTTCGGTCTCCATAATTTTTTCCCCACTTTGCATCGCGTAAAGTTGTAAGCGCCCTTCGGTCCAGGTATCATCGGTAATTTATGCTCTAGAGGCATCATCTTCCATGCTGGTAAACCGAACTTTGGCACGGCGCCTTTTGGTTTGGGAATGGTCTCAGCGAGCCGTTCTAAATTCCTGTATCAAGGAATAATCCTTAACTCACTAATCTGTTATCTTTTATATATTTGTATTTTATTTTTTATATATTTATATATATATTGTATACAAAATATATATAACTTATAAATATATGAAAATAAGAACTATTAATTTAATGAATAATATTTAAATCT